CAAAGATGTATACAGATGTATCAAATAAGTGTTGGAAATGTGAAACACAAGTGGGAAGCTATTATCATATGTGGTGGTCATGTGGAGTAGCGAAACAATATTGGAAAAGAGTGCATGCTATGTTGGAACAAATATTGCTCTGTAAGGTGCCATTAACCCCAGAACTGTTTTTATTGAGTATGATACCTGAAAATATAGATAAGTCAAAGGATTATATAGTTATATACATAGCTACGGCAGCCAGAATTCTATATGCTAAAAATTGGAAAAGACCAACGGTACCGAAACAAGAAGATCTTATTGAAAAGATACGGGAAATAGCCGAAATGCACATTTTAACAGAAGTCATGAAGGACTATCCCTTGCAAAAGGCAACAGAAAGATGGGATCTATTTAACAAGTGGACTGAATCAACAGGCAGCTTATGAATAGCATATATTGAAATGAGAACTCAATCTAGAAGGCAGAAAAGAGTAAATAGAATAACTTAAAATCTTGATAAGGCAATAGGTACAGAATGGATGGAAATATGTTATTGTCTCCCCTCTTCCTCATCAATTCCAATTCCCTTTTCCTTTCTGTCATCCGTTATATAAAAAAAAATTTAAAAAATAAAAAAAATAAAAAAAGAGATCTGAAGCGGAGTGAAACAGCGCTGTGTCCTCGCACCAACTTTGTTTGGGATCTATTTTGCTGTCATGCTGAAGCCCGCCTTTGGAACTGCAACAGAAGGTGTCTATCTCTGGACTAGAACAGATGGAAAGCTCTTTAATCTTTCTAGAATGAGAGTGAAGACCAAAGTCCATCTAAAATGCATGCGGGACTTTCTCTTTGCCAATGATGCAGCTGTTGTTGTCCATTCTGCTGAAGAGCTCCAACAACTTTGGCTCAATGATCTTTGACACTCTCTTTCTAGATTCTGAGCTGGATAAATCAATTGGCAAAGCAGCTACTGTGTTCTCTAAATTCACAAAGAGACTATGGCTTAATAAGAAGCTGACGGCATACCAAGATCCAGGTCTATAGAACCTGTGTCCTGAGCACACTCCTGTACTGAAGTGAGTTCTGCACCCTTTGTGCATGGCAGGAGAGGAAGTTGAACATGTTCCATATGCATTGTCTCTGACACATTTTTGGCATCACCTGGCAGGAAAAAGTTTCAAATAGAGTAGTCCTGGAATGAGCTGGAAGTTTTAGCATGTATACATTACTGAAACAGCGATGTCTACATTGGCTTGGGGATGTTGTGAGAATGGCTGATGGTCGGATTCCAAAAGATCTCCTGTATGGAGAATTAGTGCAGGGAAAGCACCCCAGAGGGAGGCTACAGCTGCAATACAAGGATATCTGTAAGCAGGATCTGAAGGCCTTAGGAATAGACCTCAACAGATTGAGTCGATCTTGACATCTCAGCATTCGGCCTGGAGGCAGGCGGTGCATCATGGCCTCTCCCATTTTGAAGATATACTTGTCCAGCAAGCCAAGGCAAGGAGGCACTCCTGAAACCAGCAAAATCAGGGAGCTGGACAGGGGACAGATTGTAGTTGTCTTCAGTGTGGAAAGGATTGGCACTCTCGAATTCACCTTCTCAGCCACACTAGATGCTGTTCCAAGATCTCTATTCAGAGCACGTCACCATAAGTCTCTTGAGACTGAAGGATGCCTACACTACCTACTAGAACAATCTTTCCATATCTCTAATAACATTATTCTAAAAGTTAATTTCTATTAATTACCCCCACAATATTTTATATGTAGTAGTTGAATTGTGTAGCCATTCATCAAAGCTAAACAACCAACTATATATAATAAACCTTTAGTAGTAGTAGTAGTAGTAGTAACAGCAACAGCAACAGCAACGGCAACAGCAGCAACAACAACAACAACAACAACAACAACAACAACAACAATAATAATAATAATGTATCATCAAGTCAATTTTGATTTGTGGAGACCCTTTTCATGGTTTTCTACGTAGAGTACTTAGAAGTGGTTTACCATTCCCTTCTTCTGGGGGGCACTTTGGGACTTTGTAGCTTCCATAAGGCCACACAGGCTGGTTCAACTTGCAAGAGGCACAGTGAGGAATCAAACTCCCAACCTCTGGCTCCATAACCATATAGCTAAATCCTCAGAATAAATAAAGTACCTTTGCCAGGATCTGGTCAAGCAAAGAAAGATGTCACAGTCACAGATGCAGTCACAGTAAAAAAAAGACATGCGGATTGTACTTCTGGCTTGTTATGACCAGCATTTAATTGGTGAAACTTTCTGGCTCCTTTATAAAATTTGTTTAAAGGATTTCCCCTTGAAAAGCAGTAATATATGCTTTGAAAGAAGAAAGAACACAGCTTCTTAACAAGGGTTAATTAGGGGGTGGTGATTTATAGTTAATTTCCTCTGTGAGAACTTTGGCCAGCACAGATGCTCATTGTTCCCAGGGTCTGAAAAGTGAGGGAAAAAGCAGCCACCTTTTCATCAATTTACTGCATAAGAATTGGCTGGGACGTTTGTTTAACTCAACCAGGTTAACAAGGATTAAAACTTATAAAAGCATAATGTTTTGGAACTGGCTCAAAGATTAAAGGTGGGAAGAAGTGAATCTTTTGAAGTCTTGCTGCCTGAGTAATAGAAAAATCTACTGTTCATTTTTGAAAGCAGATTCAAGAATAAAAAAAATATATTCTTGGTCATAAAATTATGACCAAAATTAAATACACACACACACACAAACACACACACGAATAGAATACCTAAATATGTTTACATCTGTGTGAGCTCTTCTCCCGCT